ACGACGATAAAACACAATTACTGAGGAATGAAAAGCTCATTGGATAGATTCTTTTTTAGCAATCAGTAGCTCGTTTACTCCTCTACAAACTTTGCTCGAGGTGCTTTTTATTAGCTCTTCTAATTTCTCAGCAAATTAACTTTTAATCAGAAGATCTTCGAATTTAGGGCCTTTTTTTGCCACAGCGTCACGCGCCGAAAAACGGTTCTAAAAACTTAAGTCTTTAACCACATACCTTCATTTTTATACCAAAAGTAGAGTATGATGAACTGCGTCGAATGGCGCAAGAACGAAGTTTCTAGCTTTTACACTTTTTGAGAAAAGCTCAAATTAGTGTATCAAAAATGTCGCTTGGACAAGCCCTGCTACCGGACTAATCATGATTTACTAGTATCAATTATTAGCATTCATATACGATATTGATCTGTTTTCGATAGAGGAGGTTAAAGTTAATTGCGATTAAATTTAATCGTAATTAAAGATAATCATCTTCCAAACATGATTATCTTTAATTTTTTTTTTAAAAATAATTGTGACTAAAGTAGCGGTTACGTCACTCGCTTTATCATGATTAACAACCGCAATTAAATATAATCGTGATTATTTGCGTAGTGTAAGAGTCGTACCAAGCATGGGCGAGTCCGAGCCGAGTCCTTAACATTAAGGACCGAGTCCCGAGTCCATTTCGGATCCAGTGATCTTTTAGATTCTTATTTTTGATGAGTGTGGTTTATTTCTCGTTATTAATTTACTGAGCCCTGCATAGATATTTGAATTTTCGAAAATAAGGTTACTTTGCATGTCCGTCTCCCGAACAAAATGTTCAATTTCTCGTGAAACAGAAGGTGTTGTTATTTCGCTTTTGATTTTCCTCTGTTCATTTGTGTTAAAAGTTGAATGGATCGGATTCGAAATACAAAATCTTAAGTCCGAGTCCGTCAAAAAAAGCTCCCGTCCGGACTCGCCCATGCCTGAGTCGCACTGCGTCTATCTCTCTACTGAAAGTATATAAAGATATCTTCCCAATCAATATAAGCAAAATGCGAATAATTCCAGTAGTGACGTATGTGATATAGTGATTAAAAACCTTTACTCCACGTTATTCTTCTTCAGTTAATTTGGCTTACCGGGGAACCTCCCGAGGTGACATCTTCCCAATGGCTTATGTCTCCATCGGCAGAGTATATCGAGCTCGTGAAAACCCTAGAAGGATATAGGCACGTTTTGCTTCGTTCAAACGTTATTGAATTCTTCTTGAAGACGAAAACAAATATAGAGATGTGAGCTGACCACGTGCAGACGGGGAGACATAAATACTAGAGAAAATATGTCGGGAAAATTTCAAAACAGAAAGCTCTATAACTTAGCGAATAAAAGAGATGAAAAGCTGAAACATTCCACGAACAAATATTTTTACAGAACAATCATTTCACCTTTGAAATATTCTACTTTTTGACTTTTTCAAATAAAATTCTTCAAACCTTGATAATAAATTCTACTGTCTTGTACAGAATTTCACGCTCAACCCCGAATCCACAATTTATGATACTATTTGAATTAAACTTGGTCTCGTTTTATACAAGTGATGATGGATGGTAAAACCGGTGAACTGCATTAAAGAAAACGGGCAACAATAAAATATATTTAAGTAATGTCGGTTCATGCAATAAGCAAATGAAAGCTGTTACATTGAAAAAATAAGTAAAAGTGTGCACGTAAAGTATTTCATTATATTGAGATTGTTGCAAGTTTATCATCACCAACAGTTACAGGAGAAACTGAAACTGCTTGCGGTACAGGAGCAATGGTATTATTGCTCCACACTATTTTTCGTTCAAAATATGGCCACCAAATGTATCGATGAATCAAACTTACAATTAATGGAACTAAAAGTTTGTAAACTTTTGTAAGTCCACCAATTAAGCCAATGATTGTTGTAATGATAAATATCGGTGTACTTCGACTCACATATGAATAAGTACAATATTGTGGTTGACAGGTATTGAAATACAATTCATATGATGTTTTATTATTCCATTGTTCAATCATTAAATTTTGTACCAGTTCACCAACTGTTGTTGCTGTATTATACTGAGTTGTTAAAGACGAATTGAGAATTGCAACATTGTTATTGAATGGATATTGTATAGCATTGAGTAATGATGATAAACACGTTTGATCATAGAAACACCGAAGATCAGAATGTAATAGAGCATCAACAATATAACATCCCACGTAAATTCCTAAACAAGAAGTTGAAAAACAAACAGGTGTAAAAAAACTATTAAAGGTAACATATCAATAAGTAATACCTGGTATACGAAAAATAAGTGCTGTGCTACTCGAAACATAAAAAGTATAAGAATAGCTCTCATAATAAGGAGAACTGATACTATAAATAGCAGCTTGTTGAAAGCAAGTAGGTGCTTCTATACAACTACATGATTCATTCGTTGTTGTATTATAAATGCGTTCATAATCATAAATATAATCTATATACGATACATATTCTGTTGGATGCACCACTAACATTGTATTTGTTAATAAATAAGACATTAATGTATTTCCTTGTGTTGTACTTTGAATTAATAGTAATGATCTTTTAAATGTATTTATTGTTGTTTGTTTAAATGTATTAATAGTGTTTTCTGCTTGCGATTCACATGAAGTCTTTGAAATAAGATTAACTGATATGAATTTTGTTGAATTAAAGATATCTAACTGATAATTAATTGCTTCTTGAGTTAACTCACATAATTTTGATAATAGTTGAAATGCAACACTTGCTGTTTGTCGAAAATCATCTTCGTTTGTTATGACAAGTAATGATAGGTTATATCCGATGTTATTTATCCATTGCATAGTAATAAAGTCTGATTGACAAATTTGATGATATTTAAGTTGAAATGAGACAAATTTTTGATAGTCAACTGTACTATTAGAACATGGACATTGAAGTGTTTGTAAATATTTTTGATACAATTCATTGTAAATCGATAATGTTGGTCGTTTAACTTTAACAATCTGAGTCAAATTTTGACTGGATGAATATATGACTAGAATAAAGAGTGAAATAAATAATAGAAGAACAAAAATCCATGTAGCAACTTGTTGGTTTTTCAAAGCATAATCCGATTTGTTCTCATAATTTTTAAAAAGATTTAATGTCTTCAAAACATGTTTTACGTTAATCCACAATAAACTTCGACGATTGTTGTTATCGGCTAAAAAATTATCCAAAAAATCTGTATGATTTTTGTTTGCAATTATAAATAAGATTTTGAGAAGCTGTGACTCATATCGAGCTCTTTCAAAATACCGTGCGCTAATTTAGAGTACCGCAGTATGTAAAAATATCGCAAGGTTAACCGCTGTTCAGCCGAAGACTAGAATATTACATACATACAGTAGATGCCAATAAAGCAGGAATCAACCGAGACACTTGAAATTATCTCAGATATAAACTGCAAATCTCAAATGATGAAGTTTATTAGTAGCGCTACAGTCGCCTGAATTTCTGACGTATTCACTGGCAGAACGATATGACTCACCGGGTAAAGCGATCAGGAAAAAAAGGCAAGGACAAAACAATAATCAGAAGAGAAGAGGCGGAGAACTTCGCAATACGTCACTAAACTGTAAAAGGTTTCTTTTTACGATACTTGTGCGGAGGAAGAGGCTATCCGCTCTTCGACACTGGAGAAAAGTTATGAATAAAACAGTTTCTCTATCTTTGCACGGCGCTAAACAGCCTCAAAACACCTCTACTTGCCAGCGCGACTGTTGTTAGCCGCCATACCTTTGCCGACTTTCCTTGATTATCTCAGTTCAACTGCACTTTTTTCGTTAAATCAATTCGACACGGTATCAAAACAGGTAGCTAAAAAGGTCTTCTTTTTTGCTGAAATAAAATTTTGAGGTACTGAAATAAAATTTAATACTTGTTCTCTTTACTTTTACAGGAAATACCAGAACCAGAATTAGATTCTTAAACAAGTTGTACAATTTTTGATTTCTCCCGTAGTTCACCAGGGAAAAGGACAAACATTTCCCATAACTTCTGCAAGAAGCGACAAGAGCAGAAATTCTTTTAGTATTTTTGCTAGCTACTCACTATCATCTATTGATCATGATATAATATCTGCTGCTGCGGACAAATGTGTAGACATTTTCGGTTATGAGACCTCAAGAGAATAATCTTTATTTTTAAAACATAATGCCATTCTAGCTTGCGACTATAGGCATGTTATAATTTCAACACAATCTCCCTCTATTGTATGATCCACATCAAACCATAACTGGATATAGTATGATCAGAACCACATCACAGAAAACACAGTTCCAAAAATGTGTTTTATTAAATGCCTCAGAAAGGTTACTTTAACAAAGCTTACTTTGTGGAGATGGCGGTGTTGTATCTGTTGCTGCTCCTCGATCCTTTTTTCGTGTAAGAAATGAAACGGACGATGGTATTAACAACCTTAAAACAGTTGTAACTCCACCTAATAACCCAAAAACGGTGGTAATCATGTAGATTAAATGTGCTTGTTTTTGATATGTATAAGTGCATTCAGTTGGTTGACACGTAGAATAATATTGATCATAGAATATTTGATCATTCCATTGTTCAATCATTAATTGTTGAACAATTTCACCGATCGTTGAGCTCACTTTGTATTGACTTTCTAAAGATGTATTCATTATGGTTGCATTAAACGGATATATTGAAATGTTATATAAATATGTATTGATTGAATTCAGACAGGATTGATCAAAAAAACATTCAAGAGTGGATAAAAGTAATGACTCTATAATATAGCAACCATAATAAAAGTGTGGCATCGTGAAGATAATTGTTAATCCTGTGTCATCTGGACTCACACTATAAATACCACCATCAGTTACACATGACTTGTTAACTTTACACCAACACATTTCACCAGTATTGTTGTGAAAACCTGTTGAAACAGGCAGTAATTGATGCGATGAATCATCGAGATGAATATGTGGGCCAGCAGTCAATGCGTTACTATGCGTTGTTTCCCTAATCATTGTCAATGAGTTTTGAAATGATTTAATTATTGTTTCTTTAAATAATAAAATAAATTCAGCAGCTTGCGACTGAAATAGATTTTCCGATATGACACTTGATGTAACAAATGTTGATGAATTAAAAACTAAAAGAGTATTCTGAATTGTTTCAATCGATAATTTACAGAATGTTAATAATGCTAGAAATGAACCGGACATTCTGGAGCGAAAATCAAGTTGATCGAGATCTGTATCATTTACAATACTATAATCTAACCATGACTGGCTGATAAAGTCACTTGAACATACTTGATGAAATGTTGGTTGAAATGATATAAATTCTTTGTATTCAATTGATATTTGTGTACACGGACAACTAAGTGTTTGACTATATTTTGGATAGAGCTGATGTAAAAAGACAGATGATGTTGGTTGTTTAACTTTAACAGTTATTGTAACAGTTGTTAAAGTAGTATAAATGATAAGTATGACCATAGATATTGTAAGACAAAGAATAAATAATCGAGTAGCATAATACTGATTGTTTAAATCATACGTAGTTTTCTTTTCTGGATTTCTGAAGATGTTAAAAGTACGAATTTCATTTTTGATACGAGACCACAGTAGACGAATACGATCTTGAAATAGATTTCGTGGTTCTAAAAGGAAATGTAATAAGAGCCATAGCTTTTCCAAATTAGACTGATTTTTGTTTTAATTTTCTCGGCACTAAAAAGATTCTAAAGAACTTTCGTTCGGAGAGCTGCTTTTATGTTCCAAAATGTATATTCCTACAGAAGAAAGTCGTGGGAAGCTAAGAGACATCTCATTTTGATCAAGTTTGATCAAGGTTCTGGATTTTAACTACAATGATCATTTGATCATATTTTTCGACTTCGGCATCGGTAGTAAATAAAGAAACGAAAAGATTCGTATAAGAAGATACGTTTCCATTTCATTCATTTACCTGTATTTATCTGATCATCAATAACACCTGAAATTTTATTTCGTTGGCGAATGAATTCGACGATTGACGGAATCAAAAACATTAGAGCAGTTGCAATTCCTCCAAATAATCCAAATGCTGTTGTAACAATATAAATGAAGTTGTTATGTGCGATGATATTGTACGTACATGAAATTGGTTGACATGTACTAAAATAGGATTCATATGATATATACGAATCCCAATCTTCAATCATTAACATTTTAAGAATATCACCAATTGCTGTTGCCGGTGTGTAATTTGTTGGCAGAGATGGATTAAGTGCTGCTACACTTATATTAAATTTATCATTGTCAAGAAGAAAATACGTTTCTAATTGATTTAAAAGCGATTGATTGTAGAAAAATACAAGATTTGATTGAAGAAGAGCTTCTGTTATATAACAGCCCTTACGTAAACCGGTAATATTAAAAAAAAATGTGTTATTATACCAAATATCAATTTCTGTCGAACACAGGGCCGACAGCTGACAGAAACAATTTCCATAGGCGAGAATTCCAATCATAAGTCCATATCTGTCTGGGAGATAATATAATACGTAATTTGTCTCTGATACTGTCAATAATGCGTTCCCTTGTGTTGTACCTCTTATCAACGCTAATGATGTTGAAAATGAATTTTTAATTCTGTCTTGAAATGTATTAATGAACCCAAGGACTTGTTTACTAAAAGTAAGTTCCGGTATTAGTGTTCCTGTTATAAATGTTGTGGAATTAAATGATAAAAGTTCGTCTGTGACTATTTGCTGACTCAATAGACAAAACGTTGATAATGTTTGAAATAATAGAGCAATCAGACGATCTATATCGGTTGAATCGTGTATTTGTTCACGTGGGTGAACATATTTTGTCCATTGTTCATTAACAAAATTAGAATGACATATTTGGTGATACGTTGGTTGAAATGAAATAAACTTTTCATATGAAACTGAAATTGTACTACATGGACAAACAAGTGTCTGTGTATAGTATTGATTAAGTTCAGTATAGTCAGCAAAACTTGGCTGTTGCACTCTTTTAGTTAACACTACTTGTTCCACTGATGTGTAGAGAATGAGAATGAGAATAGAAGTTATGAATAGAACAATAAATAAACGCGTACTTATATACTGATTACGTAGATCTTGTGGTGTTTTCTTTTCGGAATCTTTAAAAAAGTTCAATGTGCGACTAATATCTTTAATGCGAGACCAAAATAGACGAATCAAAATTAGCATATTATTGTATTTTTGATAAATGAGAACTTGTTGGGTGGATAGAATTTTTAATTTGAAGTGCTCGTAGTAAGCACACACACTTTCTATATATAACGGTCGTAATTACTAGAATTCGGCCGGCTTTTTTCTAATTTTGAAAACTAGAATAATAAGTAGTGTTGAGTGTTGTTTGTATTAGTTAAAGAGCAAAGAAAATAGAAAGAAATGAACTTTTCTTATTTTAATTATTTCAAACGTTTTTTTGTTTTGTTGAGACATGAAAAATGCACACCACAGAGCAGATGGCAATCGATACACTTCGAGATGAAAACTACTAAAATGTTAGTAATTAGTATTTCTAACTTCTTCTGCTTGAAATACAATTCATAATAAGCAATACGTTAATTATTCTCAAGAGAAAAACATCTTTCTAACAATTGTTCATCCATAAACACTTTTTAATCAGTAAGAGTCAGAGAAAGAGATGGATTGAGAAAATTCTCACTGTATCGTTATCTCACATACTCTGCTAATGTTTGCTGTCATACACGCTCAAAAAACAAGTGTTCCGCTACCTGAAAATGGCACTTTGATGGAAGATAAATGGAGCATGATCATTAACACACCGAAGTTCTTAAGATGATTTTAGAAAAACCAGGCTAAGTTTAGTTTAAGTAGCAAGCGTCATATTCCACTCGATAAAGTTTGATGAAAGGGATCTGACGCTGCGTGAAACATCACATTTGGGTTTACATAGCGGTATTGTTCAAGAATCAACATTTGACATTGATTTCTTTTTCCTTTTTATCACATCAATAGTTTTTATGAGATGCTATTGGTTACGTCGATTGTGTAACCAAAATAGAATTGAACCATTCGTTGACGGGTAAGGCATCAGATTGTGATGTATTTTACTTTCGCCTTGTCGAGTATAATCAAAATTCTATCAATTTCTTATTTTTTTTAATTCAGTATGCATTGAGAGGAAATGTGTTATAATCTATCCTATCTAACCTTTATTCAAGCAAATTTAAAATGCAAAGTAGTGTGATCGAAGCAATACGTAGTGCTGATTGTTATATTCGTAACTAAAAGATCGCTTTTCTCGTTTACCATTTTACAGAATTATCGTAATTGACTACATCTAGCCCGTTCTATTCTGCTGTATCACTTTGTTCAGAATATCTAAATATCTAACCCGCCCATAAAAAATAAACCAACACAAACTAGCCAGGCTATATAATGCGAACCTGCACAAACTGTATCTATCCAAATATCTAGCCAAGCCGTAAAATATGAATCAGGACAAACTGTAAATATCTGCATATCTACTCAGGTGTAAAATGTGAAGCTGCACAAACTGCAAACATCTGAATATCTAAATATCCATCCAGGGAATAAAATGTGAAACTGCACAACCTGAACATGTCTAAATTCTAAATATCTACCCAGGCTATACAATGTGAACCTTTACAAACTGTAAAGATCTAAATATCAAACCCGTCCATAAAACATAAACGAGCACAAACTTTAAATATCTAGCCACGCCGTAAAATATGAACCTGCACAAACTGTAAATATCTACATATCTATTCAGGGTATAAAATGTGGAGCCGCACAAACTGCAAATATCTAAATATCTACCCAAGGTATAAACCGTGAACCTCCACGAACTGTAAACAGCTAAATATCTACTCAGTATATAAAACATGAACTTGTACAAACTGTAAATATCTAAATACCTAGCCAGGCCATAAAATGTGAAGCTGCATACCCTGAACATATCTAAATATCCAGCTAGGGTATAAAATCTGAATCTTCACGAAGTGTGAATATCTAAATACCTAGTTACGGTATAGAATGTCAATCTGCATAAACTACAAATGTCCAAATATTCAAATACGTAGTCAGGGTATAAAATGTGAACCTCCAAAAACCAACTATCCGGCCGGGGTATAAAAGATGAACCTGGACAAACTGTAAATATCGGAACGTCTAATCAGCCTAAAAAGAGTGCACTCGCACAAACTGTAAATATTTAAATATCGAACTATCGAAATATTTTACCAGCCCAAAAAAACTGTACCTGCGCATTCTAGCCTATAATCGCATATAAGTTCTCGAGTCACAATACTTTAGCTGCACTGCATTTGTCGGTATTGAAAAACGTCTGGCAAATGATAATTCATGTATGCAACTACGAGAAGTACCCATTGAAATTGCCGATAATGAGGATGATAACAAGCAGCGTGGCATCACATTGAACTCTCGCATTGCAATCAGTCACTTGGCATTTTTTAATGGTACT